TCTTTCACTATTTTAGCTTATAAATATAAATGTAATATTTTTGCTTTGAATTTTTAAAACTCTTATCTTTAATATCCGAAATTTTATAATTCCTACTATCTGCAATCTTTCACTATTTTAGCTTATAAATATAAATGTAATATTTTTGCTTTGAATTTTTAAAACTCTTATCTTTAATATCCGAAATTTTATAATTCCTACTATCTGCAATCTTTCACTATTTTAGCTTATAAATATAAATGTAATATTTTTGCTTTGAATTTTTAAAACTCTTATCTTTAATATCCGAAATTTTATAATTTCTTCTATCTGCAATTTTTCACTATTTTGGCTTATAAATATAAATTTAATATTTTTCCTTTGCTTTGAATTTTTAAAACTCCTATCTTTAATATCCGAAATTTTATAATCCCTTTTATCTACAATTTTCACCATTTTTGTTTAAATATAAATTTAGTTGATAAATTTAGTTTACAAATATAAATTTATTTGAAGCTTTAAAGCTGGGTAAACATTATCAGCAAATTCCAAATTTTGCATTTCAATATAAATAGAATTTACATTTTTTTAAAAGTCACGATTACAATTATCAACGACTAACAAGAAGTCTAATTCATAAATTTCCACAGTTCTTTTAACCCGACTTAAACTTTCAAACTCCCGAGTTTATTCCTCCTCCTATTATTCCCGCAAAGCAGGAAAATCGTATTTGACGGTGTGTCTTTTGTTCTGGACGTTGATTACAGCTCGTAATCACCAAGAAAGGCGAGCTTGATAATAAAAAAGGGGGTCGGATTCTTCGTTTGAACGAGAAATAAACGGAAGATTAGTCCGAAGGAGAAGTTTCACAATGGCCGTAAAAGAAAGGGCGGAGGAAACGAGGAAGAAATATAAAGATGGAGACGTAGACCCGAAGAAATAAAGAGGGAATGGAAAAGAGCAATAGGAACAAAAGGGAAGAAAGAAGAGAATTTCTTTCTGGAATTTTAATGCACGAAGTGGAAACAGGTTCGTTACGTCGACTTCGATTGGATCCCTCAAATAAGGAAAGAACCTGATTTTCAAGACGACGAAATGGAAAGTAAGTTGAAACGTTGAACACGTTAGAGATTGTTATTAGCGCGAGATTGTTCATGACGTAACCGAAAAAAAAAAAAAACAGAGAGGAACTGATTCGTTATATTGATTACCATCGAAAAAAAGGCATTTTTGGAAAGACAATTATGAAACCGTGATTTTTTAAAATGTATTTTTAGACATTTGAGCGCGCGAAAGATGAACGAAAATGAACGACAGACGAAGAAAAATAACGAAAGGTAAAGATGAACGATGAAAAAGAAAAATGAAAAGGTAGAGATAAATGAAAGGAATAAAAGATAAATATACAGAACAAAGAATTGAGGAATAAGATGAGAAGCCGATTTTTATATCAAATGATATCTTGTGATAAGACAGAAAATTTTCACGCCGAGCTAACGACAAGTAAATTGGAACTTTGAAAATCCAGATTCAGATTCGCCTAAATAACAATAAAATTTCTAGGAATGATTTTTTAAATTATTCGATTAACACAAAATTACAATGAATATGAGTTTCTTCGACTAGGATTTCATATTTCAGAAATTAATTATTATGATTCACGTCTCATTTAATATTTCAAATTTCATTTCAAAATCGAGGGACCAAAAACAGACGATTCTTTCGGTCATTCTCTCATTTACTAAATATTAAAATATTTAAATAGTATTTACTAAATATTAAAATATTTAAATAATATTTACTAAATATTAAAATATTTAAATAATATGAAATATGTAGGAATTTTGGTATAAAAAGGTTGTTTACTTAAAGTTAAAAATAAGAATTTTGTTTAGTGGTGATTATAAGGTGAAGATTAATACTATTTTCTCTTAATCGCTACGTTTATACGCACAAATATTATAAATAAAATTTTATAATACTTAATAAATACTCTACTTCCAATGTTTGCATATTATATGCACTTCTATATCTTCCAATCTCCTACGGATGCATAAAAATTGCAATTATAAAATGACGTTCGATCGTGTACGATAGTTAATTATTGCATTAACGACCAACGTCAATTCACATCTGGAATGACGTGTGCAATCCTATCTTGAGCTACAACGCTCGAGGAGTGAAAATTTAATTCGATGGAAATTTAATTCAATTAAGGCAAAATTGTAAGAAAATCATAAGCGAATGTTGGAGATTGACGTATAAAATTCTGTCTCGTGGTCGATTGTTTACAAAAGTTTTTATGATTATGTCAACAAAAATTGACTTGTCATACTTCGATAAACCATTATTGGGTGACCTTGAATGAGTTAATAGTTACCTTATACAGAGAACAATTTTACGATGTTATACGTATGCACGTGTACATACGTGACTCATAATTGACTTTCCTTTCGAGGAACGAGATTAACATTTAATTATCTTGCTTATTGTGTTATTTAGAATCGATCCAAAGCTCCTTTGAAAGATTCTAAAGTCTCAATGAAGAAACGCTCAAGTCTGCTGAGCAAATATTGAAAAAATATTTTTAGAGAAGGAAACAACATTTTTCTATTTCCATTCATTTTTTAAAATATTCCCACCGTCTACTTTTACAGCGTCATATTTTATAATCGTTTTCATGAATAATAACGAAAGTTATCCTCTTATTTGCAAATAACAGAACTTCACCACAATACCGATATTAATTTGTTTTATTCATTCAGTGACGCCTAAAAATTAGAATTCCAACGTGTCATAATTCTAATAATAATACACGGTCTTTCTCTCGGCAGTTTAATGCATAAACATTCTGCTAAGTATTCACACACCTTCGCAAGCGACGTAATGACACGTAAGCAAGAACGATCAAGAGTCACGTATTACGCTGCTATCAAATCGATTGCATTCTCTCTCTCTCAAGACCAACCTAAGGATCTCCGGCGGGAAATTCAAATCGAGCGGCTCGATCGCAGGTAATCGGTAACACAAGTAGCGAGCAACATTGTGTCACTCTTCGACGTAACTGTGCACGCAAGGCAAGCGTGCCACGGCCGCGGAGAAACTGCTGGCACGTTCGTTCGCAAGACGAGCACGTGCGGTGAAACACAAAGAGAATTGTCTAACAAGCGTCGAGTCGGGCCTGTCGAAGAATTCTTTGGGGAACGGGCTGGTCGTTGGAAAAAGCATTCAGAAGCGAGAGGAAAGGCGAGTAGCAGCAAAGCGCGAGACGAGTGCTTTCCAAATTGTTTCGGAGTTTCTATCGCGAACGAGATTACGAGTTACGGCGGAGAAGTGAACGCTGGCTGAAAAGTGTTGTGAAACGTGCGCAACAATTTCGTCGACTGTAGGAGCATAAAATAAATCGCTGCACGATATTACGTAACTTATTGCTCGTTCTCATCTCGTCGACGCAGTGCAAAAAGAATATCTGCGTTTTATAAACGTCTTATTACACTTGGTATATGTTAATACATTTTGCGTTCTAATGATCATGTGTTGGAAGAAAAAAAAAAAAAAGAGGAAAAACTACGTATAATGTTAACGACGTATGATGGTAATTTGCATATTATTTGCTTCTCGGTGTTTGTCGTTCTACGATCTCAGAGTCGTTGTGATCGTCATTTTGATTACATGTAATTTTTGTCGCCATTGATTAAGAAAAAAGGACAGGTTCTTGTTTGCCAATGCAATTCGCGTTCTCGAGATCAACTGTATTTTCGTTCCTTCTAATGCAAAAATAAATACTGAGAGAGTGGAAGAGACACTCGAGGACTTGGGAAAACTGATTTTGTTTCTTGTCTGTTACCCGGTGTATGCATCTTCTTTAATATTTGTTTCGAACAATACATTATTTACTTATCATATTGTACAAATAATGAATAGTACGCGATGATTAAAAAGGAAAGCTTTACGAGTTAAATGTCTCGTAATAACCTTTAATTGTTAAATGGTTTGTCTTGATCAACGTTAAACTTTAAAATTTTAAATGAGTCGTAGCAAAGGGGATATAAATGTCAAGTTAATGTTAATGTCAACGTTAAAATTCGTGCCCCGGTCGTTGAATTGCTAAATTAATATTCATAACCAAATTGTTGAATCAACGTTATATAACCAGATCTTTCTTTCGAAATTTTCGAACATCGAAAGATACTTAAAAGATATATACTCGATATATACTCGAAATAGAAAAGAAGGCTTGAACTTATCATTTGTTTGTTTCGACAAAAATCATTTCCGCTCTGAGTCTCTAACAACCAAGCGGCGGACATTTACGTAAATGAATATTCAAATTCACGTTCATATTCACATGAATCTGAGTAGCTTTTTTTCTGATATTCAATCACATCGAGTGTCTGCATTATATGCACTTTTTTTACATGAACGCATAAAAATCCATCGTAATGATCGGTCGTAGCATTCGATGCAACTATAAATAGTCAACGAGGGGACAGATTCACACATTTTAAAAGGATCAAACTTCATTTTGCAATGATCATAAAAACAGTTGACAGAATTGACACGTTTAAGAGTGACAATTTTTACAATTCCATTCCACTAACAGAAACTTTTTAATTTCTAATAACTTTGTTTCTCTGCTTAATTATACTTCAAAATGACCGTTCAATGGTCATTATTGATATTTAATCATTGTTGAAGTTATTAATAAGAAATAATTCAAAAACTAACAACGTCGATGTGGCCAATAATCGTAGGAAAGTGTTAACTGATATTATTGGATCATTGATGACTATAATTTCTTAATCTAGGAACTTTTAATTTCATTTCACTTCGTTTCACTGATCTTCGTCACGAAGAACGTAAAGTGTACAATAAAATTAACTATTCTAGATTCTTAGTAGTATGGTATAGTGTATAGTATAGCACAGTATTTTAATATAAATCAAGTAGTATTTAATAAAATATTGTAATCATCTATAGTCCAATAAGTTCAGTGACGAAAAACAAAAGCCTCTACTTACTGTCCCTTTTTTCTGTCAAAGCCATCTTAGCATCCAACGAATGTCACTATTATTCCGAATCCTTCGTGTCTTCCTTCGGTGCCTTCCTGCTCGATACCTCTCAGATAATCCGCTCGATGCTCTTTAACAAATCCCTCTGGCAATCGATCACTGGCAAAAGCAACTGGGACGAGACTGAAACTGAAATTTCGTTCGATGAAGTAGCCGCGGAATCGACGAAGGCACATCGGCGGGACAGAAAAATCTGGTGGACGCGGTTACGAGCGGAATTGTCCATCGAGGTGGAGGCGCGATGGTCGAGCGAACTAAAAGCGGCGAACGTTCGCGCGCCCGATCGGACAAAACCGACGAAAATGCGCCGGGCCCGGACCCAGAACCCCGTTCTTATAGCCTCGGACAGCTTCGCCCGTCAGGATCGAAAAAGCAAAACTCGACGATTTTTCGCAAGCGTCCGCTCGTGACGCCCGTGAATCCACGATCGTGAACCCCCCCTCTTTCTCTTTCTCTGTTCGCTTGACTTTTTCTTTTTCTTTCTTTTTTCTTTTTCTTTTTTTTGGATCGACGCAGCCGGTATTGTTGACGAAAACGAGCGTACACAGAGTGGGGCCGGGAAACACTACTGTGGAAAACTGCATCCATACGCGCAAAGGCCGAAGGGGGGAAATCGTTTTGTTTCACACCGGCTGGAATTTAGCTGGGCTGACTCGTTGAAGGGGAAATGGGATTAACCGATCGAGCGGAGAGTTTTGGTCGAGCTGTTTCGTGAGGTTCTGTACGATGCGCAGGGGGGGGGGGGGAGGGAAACCGTGTGACGAGCTGCGGGGAAATTGGACTCCGTGAGAAGAATTTGATCGGGAAATGGAGGAGCAAATTGAAACGTAATGTCGTATCCTTGCTACGTACGTGATATATAGATTTCCTCGGTTGTTAAACAAGACGATGTTTTAAACGATCGTTCGCAGATTGTAATATCATCAGTATATTGTAGTATCATCAATATTGTGATTTCGTTTATCCATGAATTTATAATAATATAAATATAATACACAGAATGATTTTTATATTATTTATTACAGGATTAAATTATAAGTTTATCCAATTTTAATTATTAGATGAGTTTCGATAAATAATTATTCTACATTGGAAATAATATGTTTAATTTCTCAAATAATTTCATTTGGAGTTTCAATATTTTTAATTTCTTTTATAATAATAATAATAATAATAATAATAATAATAATAATAATTGAAGATTTTAAATTAATTAATTTAATTTTTTATCAAATGAATTTTTATTTTTTTATTTTTTTATATCCTTTGTATTTTATATTTATTATTAGTTTATTAATTGATTTAAATCGAATTCCTTTTGATTTAATTGAAGGAGAATCAGAATTGGTTTCGAGGATTTAATTTAGAATATTATAGAAGATTATTTATTTATATTTTTTTATCTGAATATATAAATTATTATTTATAAGAATAACTTTGGTAATGATTTTTTACAGTTTTTTTACTGAAATATTTTATTTAATTTATTAAATATAATTAATTTAATATTATTAGTTATAATTCGAGGTACTTTAACTCGAATTCTATATGATTATTTAATATATATATATATGTTGAATAGAATTATGAATTTTAATTTTATATTATTTAATTTATTTATATTTACTGAAAGAATTAATTATATTAATTAATTAGTAAATTAAAAGTAATGTCATCGATAATTCTGCTGCGATTCGAGAATCTTTTTACATCTTGATCGTCGATGGTTCAAGAAAATCTTTGAAATTAAGAGGAGAAATCCTGCGCTTCTTAATTCTTTAAGAAGATATTGCCCTTTTAATTGATTAACAAAATTATGTGTTATTATGTGATATTCTCTAGCTAAATTTTCTATCGCGAAACTCTAACGAAAATAAGTATGTAAAACCTATGCGTCAATGTATACATAATACATAAACGTAGTTTTTGCATAAAAATAAATTATTTTCATATCCACTTTTTATCATCTGTAACCTTAATACGAATGGAAGCGTAAAGATCAGAAGATCGATAGAAATAGATATATCACATTTCTCTTAGGCAATCTTGATTCACGTCTGTTACATACGTTTGTTACAACATTTACATCTATTTCACAGTTCATAGGCCATGAAAATCTGATAGATCAATTTTTCTAATTTATAAATGTATCACTTTCAAATGTTCTTTACAAATTATTTTGAATTATGAATTATTAATATATATTTACGACGGCATATAATTACAAATTTTTCATCGACTCGATCGTAAGCGTCAAATCGAAAGAATATTACCCGCGTTTCCCTTTCTCGTTCACGATCGACCGAAAATGGAATTAAATGAAATACCGACGTTGCAGTGTAGCCAGTCCGGTTGTTCACTATGTGACTATCGCGAAGCGGCGGCGGCTGCACAAGTTCAAATAAACCGTTTCGAAACAGTGCTGAATATATTGAATGTATAAATCTGTCTCTTTCTTCCGTCTGTCAGCGTGTTTCTTCCTTTTTCGTTTGTTAAAAAATCACCTTCGTGCGGTACGATTGGGAACCAGTTTTCGAGCAGCGTACAAGTTTTCAAACCATAAAGGCGGCTGCCCGGGCGTTCAAGGCTGTTACAAAGAATGTCACGGGCGATTAGTGGATAACAGGTGGATAGGAAAATAGACGATTTTTTTTTCATAAACTTGAATATAAGTACGACGAGAAAAATATTTGAGAAGACGCTTATCAACGGATGACGTTGGACGTGATCAAGTATGAAAAAATAGAATTAACATCGTAGTGAAACTGTTGTGTTACTTTTGCGAAAATACCGTGGACATTTAGAAAAATACTAAAGAATCACCATTAATTATATATATCAATTGTTCTAAACTTTACGAGTCGATTTCGTTCATGATAATAAAAATATTGTATTCTTTCTACAAATTATGCATTTAAATGTACCAATAAAAAACATTAAACGAGATACTACTGTATTATCTTTGTCTTAGAAACTAAGACATTTAAAGAGATACCATCTAAACGAACCAATAAATATTACTCAAAAATATAACAAATACACTCGATCTCACGATTTCCTCTCGTTCGTGATCGTAATAAAAATCACTGTCTAAATCTTCATCCGTCAAACGTCCACCATCGTACTACTTTCTACATCACTCCGAGAATCACAAGTAAAATTCGCAACTAGGCGACAATCTATCAAAATCCACACTGTCCCCGGTCGAAAAATGATACTCGAAAATGTTATCTGCACGATCTCGTGATTCTCTTCTCATCGTTACCGCGTTATCTCTCAAATACGCGAGCCCTGGCGATTGGAAACGGATAACGCAACTCACTCACCCGTTCTGCGGTTATTTCATCATCGACTGAACGATCGACCGGCGATCGACGAGCGAGCGACTTGAGGAGCACAGGCGGTGCCGCGTTGGTGTCGCGTCAGGCGAAAAATGATACGTCCCCCGTTTAGTGGATGATGTTTAAACGAGATCCTCTCCTCTATATAAACGCTGTTGGGAAACACGATGACTTGAGCTCTGACCTTCCCTCCTCGTCACGATCGACTTCCCTTTCTCCGTATCCTCTTGTCGCCGGTGCTCGTCGTCGTTGCCGGCAACTCGGCCTGGCGGTGGCAACGCGCTCGATGCCCGAAGTGGAACGATCGATCGATCGAACGAACGAAACGGGACGGATGATTCCTGTCGGTCAAGGGATTAATGGGGCGACGCAGCTTGTTTATCAACCGTCTTTTCTCCCCGTTGTGTCCGAGCTCCTCCGCAGAAGGAAAAGGGATGTTTGTTTATCGGATGACGCTGGGATCGGGTTATGGGTAGGGATGGGATCGAACCTAGCTACGAGCTTTCTAAAAGAGGAGAAAGGGATGACCGGCTCCGACTTTTATCAATTTTCTTGGACACGGAATGGATGCAGAATTAATATCTAGCTTACTTTCATTCATTCAGGTCCATTCGTCTGAAGAGAGCGCTAGAAACGTATCATGCTTATCGGTATCATCATTTCTCTGTGCTTCTCGGTTCGTGAGAGTCGATCGATACGGCTTCTGAACAACTTGTACGTTCATTTCGTGAGTTCTCGAGAATGCTAGTTGAAAGTAAACGGTGTACCATGTATTCGTTTTTCACTCTCGAATCTTAAAATGATTACTTACGAGTCTCGTTTCACTGCTCGAAAGTGAGTGCTTTCAATGCTTTGGGTCTAGATTCTCTGCGCCTGCTAACTAACACGTGTGTCGACAATTATTTTCTTTATATTATCTCAAACTTGCAATCATAGTACAGGGTGTCCATAAAGTCTCTCTGCAATTTCAAAAATTTATTACAAAGGCAAATGGAAAGACAGACAAGTGGAAATTATTCTATACAAAATGAGACGTATATATTTAAGTTTGCCTCATTTAATATACCTCTAGATGGGCACTGTTAGTTGCACGAAGAGGATAACTGCCACAGGTTAATAGAGTACCTGACGCGAGTGCAACTTTTTTCAAAAGATCGAAAACTTGGAAACGGATATACTACAATTCGGAAAAAATATTTCGAATCCGACGATCGAGGATTCACAGCGTTCTCGTGAGGCGTTCGATCCCATCTCTAGTTATGGATGTTTATAAATAAATTGACGCTGAACTTGGAGACGGATCGCGATGAGCTCGAGTCGCTGCCGGTGTTGGGGTGGGTCAGGGTGCGTGATCGATCGACTGACGCGGCGCGGTTTCATGGTGGAAGGAATCGTTGTAACGAACGGTGTGTACATGGGTGTGAGTGGTGTTCAGAGTGGTGAACGAGAGACAGAGGGAGCGTGAAACAGAGATACGTTAGGTTGGTTCTAGAAGGCGTGCAAAGGGGACAAAATGTGATAGCTGAGGTGATAGATCGCCAAGGTGGCTAATTAATCGTTGGTGCACCTTTGCACTCTACTGGCAGTGTTAATTGTGAAGGACGACTGTCCCGAAGACTTCTTTGAAGACGTCCATCTTGATTGTTAACCACTTGCGCTGGCAACTGATTGCGGACCATAACGAGTGACCAAACCGTATACAATAATTCTCGTCGCTTTCTTTTTGAACTCGTCGGTATGATATCACTGGATAGAAATTATTGGGAAGTAATAAATTTATTTACTTTTCCCGGATTATACTTAAAACTGAGGAAATATTGCAATTTTGGGGCGAAAAATTCTTGACACGGCACATCATTCCAAGAGGTTAAGAATATACATATAGAAAGTTATAAAGTTTTCGAAATTGTGTCTTTGTTACGAAGAATGTTTTATTACAATATTTATATGCGCCGGAGTTTACTGATAAGATTTGCAACAAATTAGATGGGAGATTTAAGAGTCTGAATTTTTTTTTCTTTTTGTATGCAGTGACGAAAAAGAATATTAAGTGTTCTCGGTTTCTTTCTTTTTTTTTTTTTAAACCTAGACTGATGGAAACTACGTGATCGCTCCGAGCGTTCAAACAGATCGTATTTTAATGAATTGTAAAACATATTCACACCTGTCGAAGTTAAACTGTGAAAAGACGTAAGTATGAAGTCACATTCTTAACAACGTGAAACCAAAGATACTTCTTTCTCCGTGTATGTAAAAACGTGCATAAATTGTAAATAAAATTGTGTTCCTTTGTGCTGACAATTTAACGTCTTAAATTATGTTTGAAGATAAGAAATCGTCATGCATTTAACTTCGGTAATAATCAATGAGACACTTTGAAAGAGAATAACCCGAGGGGTCTGCACATAGATAAATATAAATTACGCACCTGATTTTCTTTAGATTAGGTGCGAAGTCCGATTTTTTCTGGCGGTCGTATGTAACAAATGCAAATCCGTATCGGAGAGAAAAAAAGAGTGAAAGATTGCTTCGTACAAAAAATTAAGTAATATCTTCTCAGAAAAACCAACTGAGACAGAAGATTCTAAAGATCAAAGAGCAATGGACGTAGAAATTATTATTTAATAATAGTTAATTGATAATACAATAATTATTTAATAATAATAATTATAGCCTGTAGATTTTTATACAAATAATGGACTACAGCTTTAATAGAGAATTATTTCACATGTTAAATATTATAACAAACACCTTAATTCGGAATTATATATTTTTATATGTACATATAGAAATGTATTCTGTACAGTTTTTTCCTCTCAAATTATCGGTACGTTATTCTTTTTACAATATAAGAGCATTTTTTATGTTAAATTTAAGTAATTTATAGAGGCTAAGGTGTATGATTTTTAACCGATCAAGGAGGATCTCTGTGAGCTTTATTAGAATTTTTTTCAACAATAATAATTATATACAAACGTTTACTGTCACCATTTAAAGCTACAAATTATTATTAAGCTAATCTTATCAATATCATTTTAATGTAATTTAAATCGATGGAAATTGTCAAAAGTTTAAATCATCAACATGGGGCATTCTCCTCGAATGGTTAGTAACTTTTCATGTTATTAGTTATAGACATATTCCACTACAAATATACAAATTTACATAAACATTCATACTCTACGAGTGCCAACGATAAAATTAGCCGATTTAAACGTTATCAGTGCCAGACTTTGTTGAATTACTTCTAAGGAAAGTCGACAGTACTATAAAATCCATATTCGAAGCTCGATCATAAAATAGATACACGCTCCGACCTTCTAGGACCTGCGAGAAGAAATGATGACTATAAAAGACAGTCAGAAGTACCGTCGAATGCAATTGGATTCTGTTTTTCTAAAAATCAATTTAGAAAAAAAAAATTCAATTGGATTTAATCCAATTTCAAAATTTATATTACCATTTTCAATACCTCTTTTTTTAATTAGATTATTATTTTTGATTTTCGATACCGAAATTACTTTATTAATTACTATAATTTTATATTTAAAATATATAAATTTTTATTATATACTAAATATAATTATATAAAATATAATTTTATTGTTTATATTTATATTATTTACATTAATTACAGAATGAATAATAGATATATAATAATAAATATAATAATATATAATAATATAATAATATAATAATAAATATAATAAATATAATAATATATAATAATATAATAATAAATATAATAAATATAATAATATATAATAATATAATAATATAATAATAAATATAATAATATATAATAATATAATTTATATTTTAATTTAAATAAAAATTATAATGATTAATTTTTAAGTCGAAAATTAAATGTAAAAGTTACTTCATATTTTATTTGAACTATCAAACTATCGAGTCGGACGAGCTGTAGCGTTCTTGTGTAACATGCATATTTATAAACACCGGATTGTATTATTGTATAAAATATAAATTGTAGAGGTATAGACGTATATTTCTTACATACTAATTAACCAACAAAAACCCAATTAACGGAAAACGAATAAATCAGGCTAGAAATGAGAATTTGAGGTCGGGCGTGTAACGTAGTATCAAGCGGAGAAAGACAGACGGGTTGGCTATCCGGCGCTATTGTCACGGCGCTGGGTCGGTCGTACAGAAGGAACTTCAAAGGAGCACGTACCTCGCTAGAACATTTGTATTCAACGACCGTGTCGTCGTGAAAAAGAAACGAACGTCGTATTTTCATCCGTCCGTTTAGTAGTTTTCCAGTTTCGTGCAAGGCTGATGAAAACGTGTACACCAGAGACACGTATGTACATATGTACGCGCAGCTCGCGAGTGAATCTGCTTAATGCAGGCTGAACGCGGGCAGGAAGTCGATTATTGATTGCAAACGAATTGAAAAACTGGCCACTACAGGCGACTACGTGGAAATCTGTTCGCTTCGAGTTTGCACGATCACGCGATCAAGGAAAGTGATTCTTATTCTGTAAAAATCTGCGTCTGCAAGTTAATTATTAGAATCTTCCAAGGCTCGAGATTTTTACTGAAGCGTGTTTCCAATATGATTTTCTAGAATATTTTAAGTGTAATTTCTTTTTCTATTGCATATTAATGACTGCAAGGAGACATGGTCACGTTGATCGGACAGAGGACATTATATAACCTTGCGATCATGCTTATGATGAGATGGACATCTTGAGATATTTATCTTCCCTTATCGTCCATTCAATTATCGTTCCACGACACTTTTGTTTTTTAATAACCAACCTGAGACACTAATAACGTTAATAAAGAATTGACGACGTGTTAACAAGCCAACATTGCACGTTTTCAGCGCAGCAATTGCGCATTTAATTTGTAAAATCGCGTTTATGAGTGTAAACGTAATTGTAAAATGTAAATAAAATGTAAATGCAAAAGTAGTAAATACAAAATTCACAGTTTCCTGTTTGTTTCACGATTATCTGCAACCTTAATTAATAACACGAGTTGAATCGTACAAAAAGGTAGGAGCGTTGTTCGAAGTTCATCGATATATGCAAGTAAGAGGGATTTAACTTTAAAATTCTATCCGCGTCGCGAATATAATGGTCTGTGGTTGACAGCTTAGTCAGAAATTTATCTCGAATCGTTGAGGTTGCTGCCTTCAGAGAAGGACTCAAAGCGCGACGATGATGGTTCGTTTATTATTACACAGTGAATAATGGCTCTTTTTATCCAAACTTTTCCGCTCTCCATGCGGTCCGTCACACCACGAAGGACACCGGTTACGCAAATGAAGAAGATGGCGCGGAAGAGATAGGAGAGATACGAGGAAAGACATCGCCAACTTTTTGACAGTTACTAATCACCTGAAATAAATCCTATCTCTCGCGACTTCCACTAAATCCAAATCCCAGCTTTCTTCTAACTAAACGTTTAAATCCGCTTTCTGGAACAAGAGCTTGTCTAAAAAGTGCGATACGTAACGAAACGACGCGATTATTTTTCTTTTCGACAATCCGTCACACCGATTTCTTCCTTTTTCAGCTTTTTACTGCTTCTACGATTTCCTCATTGACTGTAATTTTGAAACGAGGTACATACGTGTAAATCTGTTTTTATTTCTACATAATACTGTATACGATAATATCGCTCAGTAACCATCGTATTTTCCATTAAATTTCGCCCCAGGATGTAGATAGAATATCACATATTTTGTGAAAAACCCATATCTTTTATAGTCTTATGCATGTCAGAGAAAATAAAGAACACTTTTCTGTTATATTACATTTTATCAACAATTTGACAAAATTGTAGTCATTGTGTAATAAATTTATTATATTATTGTTATTATTATATTATTAATTATATTATTATATTAATTATTATTATATTATTAATTATATTATTATATTAATTATTATTATATTATTATTATTTATTATTCATAGATAGAATAAATGTTATATTAAAATATATATTACAATAATCCACTGTACGGAAATTGTTATAATATATTTTATCTATAATTTGACAAAATTGTAGTCATTGTGTAACAAATTTATTATATTATTGTTATTATTATATTATTAATTATATTATTATATTATTATATTATTAATTATATTGTTATATTATTATATTATTAATTATATTATTATATTATTATTTATTATTCATAGATAGAATAAATATTATATTAAAATATATATTACAATATACTACTGTGCGGAAATTGTTATAATATATTTTATAATATCTATAATATCTATAATTTGACAAAATTGTAGTCATTGTGTAATAAATTTATTATATTATTAATTATATTATTATATTAATTATTATTATATTATTATTATTTATTATTCGTAGATACAACAAATGTTATATTAAAATATATATTACAATATTCTACTGTACGGAAATTATTATAATATATTTTATAATATCTATGTTAACACATGTTACATAATATTATATTAAAAAATTTCAAATATCGTGTGATAAACAGGTATTATATAACGTCAAAATAACGCCGAAGAAATACTGGCGAGATAATAAAAGAAGGAAGTAAATAATTTCATGCAACATGTAATAGAGATAAATGAACTCCGTGAAAGATTAATTGGATATCGCTGACTTGAGAGAATCAAAGCGTTATTTAAGTACGTAATTATCGGAGGCGTTATCGAATCAAATAGTACACGAGGCACGATTCGCCGATCGCCCGTTACTCGCAAAGAAAGGGGAACTCTTACTTCCTACACGTTCACGTGCTATCCCTCTGCTGTTAAATCATGTTACATTATGTTACTGGCAATATCGAGGCGAGGTGCCGCCTTCCGATATAAATTTCGCGATTTCCCTTTCTAAGGCGCGAGTTGAATGATTTTTATTCCACGCCGGTTCGAATGAAAATTACCATTGGCGAAATTCGTAATCCATTAATACTTTTCATTTGGGCGATAGTTCGCGCGATTGCACGATCGTTCCGTTTCCTTGGCGTTCGAAAGTAAATGCTCACTCTGGCCTCTTCGAATTGAAAACATTTTTAGTAGTCTTTCATGCGTCTGCCGAATAATGAATTTTTCGTGTACGAATGTCCAAGTTTCAGTTCTGTTAAGAATTTTAATAATTTTAATAATTATTTATTAAATTTTAAACAATTTAAATAATTACTTATAATTCTCAGAATCAATAGATTTGATAATTATTCACGTTTCTCACGTTTATTTTAATTTTTT